CCTCTTCTACCCTCCTTCTGTTTGTGTTCTTTTTACTGAAGGTCCCAATGGATGACCTCTTTGAGGCAGCGCTAGCTCTGCTAAAAGCCATGGAGCTGCGGAAGAAGTACATGAATCTATCGAAGCAGGCCCACGCTAGCATCACCACCAGATTCATGACGATGGCTCGTCTGGGATCTAGGGACCAGTTGGATCCACGCAATGACAGAAAGTACTACACTGCTCAGACACCCAGGCTAGGTATGTATACATTACTTCAGTTCCAACTTTCCCTTTGTATTCGGACAATGAGGACCGTTGAGCCGGTGCACCTCGTTCAGGGGAGGTAGTAAGGTTCGGTTCGATCGAGCAATTTAATTCTGGATATTTTTTGAGCAGAACGTTCGGCGGGAATGCGACATGAACGTTCATTGACGATTTTCTTGATCCAGGCTTTCCAAAGTCGCCTGGAATAAGATCGAATTCACTGTTACTTCTCCGTTCTCATAAACTCTCCGGTGATTTGTTGAATGGACCCTTTTCGAGGCCTCTGGTTAAGATTTTGTGCCAGAAATGGGAAAAATTAATGACCCCTACGGAGGAAGTTGTAGCTGTTTAGGTATATAGTACAGAGCCTTCTTGTCTCGTTGTCTGGACTATCAAGAGTCATCCAGCTTCCAACTTCGGACGCTTTTCATGTAAGCGCCAAGGGGAAGAACCGGACACTCCACGGTGTTGGGTAGCATCTGTTTATAGATGATTTTCTATTGGTCATTAGCATCAGTAAAAGTTTAAAGCCCAGCGGACTTTGTCGCCAGCCCCTACGTTTGAAGGGGCATGACGAACCCACCTGCGGAAAGAGCACTGAACGTTCTGCCGACTGTTGAGCTGTCCATATGGGGTTATCTCAGTGCCGCGTGTGACCGCCCTCTTTTTTGCGAAGCCGTCCATTTTCTGCACATATAACTGCCATATACCGGCATGATGGTTGGACGTCTTCTGGCCGGTAAGCTCTAAATGAGAAGCATTTTCCATCACACAAAACAATTAGCATTTGTCCAATATTTGACTAACGAGTTTACAGGTGTTTGAAGCGCTGAACAAGGCAAATTCTAGCGGTTGGTTTTTTGCAGCCTCAGTCTTCTGAGACAGACTGGCTTCCAAAAAATGCCCTTTCCGATGCTACGGACATTCAACACCATCAGTATGATACCTCGAAAACCACCCATTCGGTCCGAAAGCCAATTTAGTTTTGGCTAGATGACAGCATTTTGTGGTGAACTGCTGTGAAGTTGAGGCTAATTTGCAGCCGGGCGTTTGCTCAGGAGTGGGCACTTCTGTTCACCGCTCAGGCACACTGTTTTCAGGCCCGAGACCCGTTTATTGTATCTACAGTTGCCTATGTAGCCTGCGAGGCGACCTTCGATTGGCGGTTTTGCGCAGATATGATTTGCTTTAGCTCACGAATTTTTTAGGTAACACTACCGCTCTCTGGTCCTATAAACCACTTTACGTTTGCGGTATCGCTCGGGTACCCCCTGTTTCGGCATGTGCAGCCTGTTTAAGGAGACCAGGTTTCCGTGGACTTTTCTATCTAATGCCTGTAGTCATATTTGGGCAAAACTTGAGGCATAATTACTTTACTTGTGTAATGAAACAGATGGGTTCGATAGACTCGCATCGACAACGTGACAAGTAACATGAACTGCAAGAGTTATTCTTCCTCGACCTGAAGCACACGTCACATCCGCGAACGTCAGCTTTAACCCTCACTTCTAGTTGTCACGTCGCCTTGAGGTTAGTGAACCCGTCTAGTTAGCATAATTAGCATACTAAGATGAAACGAACAGTTTGAAATGGGTCAGTAACCACGCATCCTAATCCCATTCCCCCTTCCTCCTTCCCCATAATGCATCAAAGTAAGCCAATCTCACCTATTAAACTTTCGACCTCGCCCAGCGGACAATAGCGAACGTGCCACGGCTTCACGAACGCCGAGTCGCATTGACCGTTTAGCCCACGGTGATTGGTTCCCGCTAGTTTCCTTAGGCGGCATCTGTCTGCCCCGACCCACTCTGTGCAGCGTCTACAGAACATACCTAAGCTCGGGAAACGTGCCAAAATTAGCGAGAAAAAAGGCCCAACACACAAACCACGTCTAATGCAGGTAGACAGTCCCGGAAAAAGGCATCAGAATGTGTCTGAACTACTATCAGACCGTCTCGAAAGAGTGCATTGTAGGGTGGGGGAAAACTAGAGGTACATTAAAAAGATTATCTTAATGGCGCCAAAGTAGGTCCGAATGTTACCACAACGAAGTACCTTCGTTGCATGTGACTGAATGAATAAAAGGAAATGTATCAAAGGGATATGCGCATACTACCTCCACCATCAGAACCAGGTAGTGAAGGCGACACCCCTTGTTTGATTTATGCATGCCGGCGGTATCTCGTAAAATTACTGTCTCGTTTCTTTGTTTGAGAGGACTTTTACCTCGAAGGTATCGTCTGCAACATCTGCGTGGACTGTACTCGCGTCATATAAATTGACAACATTTCTAAATACAGTAAAATAAAAATGCATACAGCAATTATTAAAGTATATTCCACTGCGTGTCCTAATTCTCCACCCATAAAGCCCTATAGCCACCGTTTTCGTAGGACAAAATGCTGGGACTAGGGATTAATGAGGTGCACTACATGAACTACTGTTGTCAGTTAGTTTAGTTTAATACATAATAGTTATTTAAGTATATTCATCTGACTTTGGCGGTATCTAACTAAACTAAAGCTAAAGTAAGACTAATAAAACCAAAAGTAACCACAAGGCCAGGGGTATCTAAGGTGTTATACCAACTTTATTGTTACCAAAATTTTAATAGCAATAGGGTCATTCTGCGACAAAACCTTCTTATCGGACTTCCATGTTGGAAGTCGGTTTGCCTCTAGCGATTGATGCTATGCCCGTTTAACGTCTAAACTGCGTTTAAAATTGGAATAATTAAGTTATGAACAGGAATGAGGCTGCGCATTGCAACGACTGGGTACGGGGGAAATCTCATTCAAAAATTCTACTTTTATTCAGTAGGCGAGACATGCTTGAAAACATCACCCTTTTTCGTAAATAAACACCAACAGAAACTTTACTCGGGTACTTTTGAACCCGAGTAAATCAACTTATTGATAAGCCTGCTTGTTGACCGTTGAAATGACACTGACTTACCAATTGACAAAATTATACTCTTAGGACGCCTGTTGGTAGTGTTAGGGTCGTGGGATACCAGTACGTTCTAGAAATGGCAACATCCGCGGCCCTTATGACTTTGACGACCATCTCTGAAAGTAGTAAAATTGTAGTTTGCAATAAATGCTTGAATTAACCATGATACGTGATCAGGAAAGAAAACGTCTGGAGTCCAGTT